AAAATAATAAATTTGATTTAATAATTTGTTTATAATATAATAAAGATAAAACAATATGTAAAAGGAAAAATAAAACAATGTGTAACAGGAAATTAAGTTACAGACGAACAAAGTGTTATCTTAATTACAATATATTACGCTTACATTGTCAAATTACGATATGTACAAAATTAAGAAATCAATAATACAAAAAAATACATCGTAAAACGCTACAAACACCGGAGCGGCTGGGGGATTCACCCCCACAACCCCAACTGGGGCCCTTCGCAGCTCCTGGTCCCCAGCGTATGGCTCGGGCCTTCCGCCCCTTCGTTGCGCCACTAATCCCATGTAGTTCCGCATTTACAATTTTTGCACCCCACTCCCTGATGGGAGCCTCCCTGCGACCCTGAATACATGAAACAGGGAATGAAGTAACATATTTATGGCAAACGACTTGTGCACATGCCGCTTAAATGTAATAACATCAAACACAGTAGGCATATTTTAAGGGTTTTTTCCCATGCGTGAGAGTACGCCTACAAGACCGTACTTTTTTTCTTTAAAGTTGAGTTCCATCCATGTATTTTCTGTTTATATAGCCCTACATCAACAACTATATTAAGCCACTGTTTCAAAACGTGTACGCCGTTGGTTGTGGAGAATATTGGCCATTGAAAAATAAGGTGGGTGGCAATTTCTAAAGGGGATAACACTTACAAAAAAATGCTAAATGACTAGTCCTGTTCTTATGTGAATTTTCTCAATTCTCAGGTGTTCATGTAATAATAATCAACGTACATGGCGCTTTATATATATATATATATATATATATATGAATATATATATATATATATATATAATAATAATAAGAATAATACTAATAATAATAAGAATAATAATAACATTATGTCCACGTCCATTATTACTATCGTTGCTGTAGTTTATTTCAATCACATTTACCGATATTGTTATTGTTATTGTTGAATTGATTTAATAAAAAAACACCATGGCTTTTAATGAAACTGTAGGCTATTTAATGTCATGCATGCTACAGGATTTATTATGTAAATAATTACCGATTTATTAGAGTATTAAATGCTTTATACATAACAATTATTAAAAAATTGTAGATTCTCATAATAAATATATATATATATATACATATATATATATATATATATATATTATTTTGCATTTGAAAAGAGATTATATTTTTAAAAATCATCCTTTTTTGTATGATGTAAAGTTCGAGAAAATAATATTATTATTATTACAATTTGTCACAATTATAAACAATCATGCATTAGTTAAAAATAATTGGTATGATAATACAATTATTCATAACCTGTGAATTGTCACTTACAATGTTCGAAGACTGGTCAAACCAATGAATACACCTTGGTTTAGATCAGTTAATTGGTTGCCATACAAGTTCCTTAAAAAAAGAACAAAATAAACAATATTATTATTAAGCAAATTAAAGTAAACTATAAATTAATAATGTTGCCAGTAGTAAAGATGTTGCCTTAAATTGGCCCTGTGTTTTAATCCTGTTTTACCTGATTTTTTTCGTAATAAACTCCGCTCATTATGCATGAGAACAAAATTTATTCTATGTAGAGCATTAGTACCATGTATATATTCAGCATAGTGAAAAGTGAAATTATGTTGGTAATAATATTATTACGACTAGGTATACTCCCCAGAGAGCAAAGAAGGTTGCACTTTGTACTGGTTTGCCGTTGTATGTTATCCATTGATCAGGGGTAGTAACGCTCACCGCATTTGATCATTGATTTGGTTTGGAACTGGCGCTTTACAAAAAATAAATAAATAAAAAAATAAAAAATATTAATATTAGTATTATGTCCAAGTCCATTATTGCTTTCATCACCGTTGTTTCTATAGTTAAGGTCATCATCATTGCTATTGTTATTACACTCCCCATTAATTACCGATATCGTTATAATTGTTATTGTTAAATTGATTAAAAAAAAAAAACATTACAGTATTAGATATTGTTTGTAACCGATAATTCAGCTGTAATCAGTATGTAACCGACATTATGATGCTCCTTCTACATGCATATAAATTCATTGCTATCAATATTTTACGTGAAATAGGTATTGTGTGAACAGGATAAATGGTGTGAAATTAATTATTTGTAAAGTTAAACATTCTTTGTATGGAATCAATCGTCATTACACCGATAAGAGATATGATTTTCACAATCTTTTTTATATAATACTCGTCATGTGGTCGATCACGATATTTATTTCGAATTATATTCAATAACTCATTTACGATGGACGTGCGATGTAACTGGCGGTCAAAAATACAAAACATCTTACCAACCAGCAATAGGTCCTCGCGAACTTTCAAATCCCACAACGGTACACCCATCATTACTTCTCCTCATGCTATTTTCTCCCAGTTCAATTTGATTTGCTAATAAATTTTCGTCTGACCCTCCTTTTTCTATCCTGCATTCATGTGCCCCATCATTATTGCATGACTTTCTAAATATCACCCCATCTGACGTTCTTTCTGCATCTAAAAATCTTAGTAACTCTAAATCTCAGGTCCTGACCCTCTTCTTAACTTTGTTATTAAGCTGTTTGTTCATTCGTGTGCTCATTTCCTGACTATTTGTTTTTACTCTTTCCTTTAACCATTGTTGTATTCCTGCAGATTGGAAGGAAACCATTGTGCATCCAGTTCATAATTCATCTGATAAAATTAATTTTCATAATTATCGCCCTGTGTCTGTCACTTTTCCTTTATGCAAACTCCTTGAAGATGTCATATGTGATCGACTTAATAATGTTGTGCAGTCTAGTCTTTCTGACTTTCAGTTTGGTTTTCGTTTTCAACCATCTACATCTGATTCGCTTAATTATATTTTTCATCTGCTATTTAAATACAGTGACACCAAACTTTGTACTTGATTACTTTCCTTTTTTTAATTGTTTATTAGGTATTTTCCACAAATGCATATACATAACAATCAATTAATCAAATTAATCATTATACAAAATTACAAAAATTAAGCAAAACAGTATATGGTATAAGGTATATAATAATAATAATAATAATAATAATAATAATAATAATAATAACTTTATTAAATCTTTTATACCAGTGGCACACACTACAGGGACGTATCCAGGGGTGGGGGGAAGCCGTGGGAGCCGCGGCTCCCCCCCCCCCTTTGTACACAGTGTTAAAATTTTAAAACTTATTCTTGAGCCAATACAAATTCTTTCCTGGGATCACTCAAAATTAATACTTCTAAACATGTAAATATGCATCAGTACAAGTTATACCTAGGCATAATAGAACACATAGGCCTAAGCATGATTTAAAAAAATCTTAAATCCATAAATCTCAGGCCAGGTCTTTTAAGATAGAA